TTTCTTCGCTAACATGTTGAAGAATGTACATCAAATGTTTCATTAATTACATATTAATTACGCTTAAGTAACGTTTAAAGAATTTATGACAAGCATTAAGTTACCACTAGTGCATTTGGCTGAGTTATTTCCAGACCATGTTTCCAAGAAGAATGAAGTTTATTCTATGGTTTACTTGCTTTGTGTTCATTTTCTGTGAATGGCTTGTGTACTATTTAGTAATTTTTCAATGTTCCTGGCCTGAACTAAGTCCAGAAGACAAGCAAARCAACCCAGAGCCTCTCAATGTCATGCTTTTATCGGATCCCCATCTACTAGGCACGCAAGATGGACACTGGTTTGATAAACTAAGGAGAGAGTGGCAAATGGAGAGAGCTTTTCAAACAGCTGCGACCATATTGCAACCAGAAGTGGTTTTTGTGCTGGGGGATTTGTTTGACGAGGGCATGAAATGCAATGACGAGGTGAGTCTATATTTCATTGCGGTTTGTACTGCATCAAATTGCTCATGCATTTAAGAATTTTCAAGGATTGTAGTGGCATGCACATACTTAGTTATAACGTTTTAATGCCGATAATTCTTTATTCAATTTACCAGGAGTTTGATGACTACGTCAATCGATTTAGAAAAATGTTCCGACACTCGGAGGATGTTCATCTTCACGTTACCATTGGTAACCATGACATAGGTTTTCATGACATGTAAGTATTGCTTCATTAAGTCAYGCATCCTTCTTTTCTTTCATTCATTTWTTCTTTCATTCATTATCCTATGCATTCATTTTTTTTAAATGTCACATCCAATATTTGCAGAGCCTCATCTAATGAAAAAAACTATCAAAGATTTTCAAAAGCTTTCAATATTCCAGATGCAGGACTTTTACAAATTAAAGGAAATGTGTAAGTACACCACAATGTACTTTTCATCTATTGTTATCTATCTGTTTGCCTTTTTGTCCTTCAGCCCTTCCAACTATCTGTTCACAAGTCCGTCTTTCTGTCTTTGCTCTTACTGAAATGACAAAGTATGCTATTAAAAATTCCAGGTTTGTTACAGTGAATTCGATTGGACTAGAAGGAGACAACTGCACTATGTGTGAATCATCGGTAAATGCCATCAAACAAGTTGCCAACAAGCTCCACTGCAATGACAGAAACCAAAGATCTTTGAGGAGGAACTTAATCAAAGAATTAGCGAAAAAGGAAGAATGCGAGCTTCCATTTGATGCTCCTCTGCCAATTCTGGTTCAGGTTTGTGACTTTTGAACTTATTTTACATTAAATAAATAATCACATACAGTGTCAGTTAATATTAATGCTGTTAAATGCAGACGAGTAATGTGCCGGGTAAACCATTCATAAATAAAATAAATAAGACATTAGTAAAGTCTAAAGCAGAAAGTCTATAATTCAACTGATTCAACAAACTATCTCTCTTTGGGATAATGTCAAAATTAACTCATCAAACAATCCACCGTGCAATCAAGATCAGTTTTGATAACTGAATCAGCTGGATAGATTTGAACCCTTTCATCAAAATCTATCAAAATGTTGCATATTAAAGCTTTGACAACTGTCACTCATTTGAGAGACTGTCAATCAATCTACTGTCAGTCACGGTAGAACATGCATAGCATGTAATCCTTTTCTACACTTCAGCATTTCCCATTATATCGAAAAAGTGAAAGCAAGTGTTCTGGTATCGACGCACCTCCACCTGAAGAAATGAAAAAAGAAAACCGACCKAAATGGGAAGTGGTGTCAGAAGAAGCCACAAGTTTGTTRTTAAAGTCATTYATGCCACGCCTTGTTCTTAGTGGCCACACCCATCATGGGTGTTATGTAATACATGAGGATGGGACGCCGGAACTGACCATACCATCGTTTAGTTGGAGGAACAGAAATAATCCWAGTTTTATTATGGTAAGATTTTCAATAGTGACAATGCTTCATTGTTTTTCATAAACACTTAAAATACACTTTATTCCTGATAACCCATGTTTTAATTGACGTTTTTMGTGTCTTATCTTACTTTGTTTATTAGACGTTTTTGAAAAGAACTCTAAATCCGTGAAACAAAAGACTTGTTATACTAGACTAGGTGTCATTCAATAAGACTAGTCTAAGTTTTTATTATACATTGAATCTCACCTGTATCACTGAGATATTTTTAAAAATTATTATTATTTAAAACAACATGAAAGTATTGCTGTAATAAGAAATCTAGCAACACGAAAAATGCTAAAACAAGTTCGTTTGTTTTCCAGGCTGTGATTACGCCCAAGAAATTTCTGTTATCAAAATGTTTCATTCCACAAGAAAACACCGTGATAGCTATATATGTTTTTTCGGCAATTGTCCTTGTAATTGCCAGTGCATCGGTCTTGAAGGCCTACTTGAAGTCACTTCAGAGGAAATTGCTCAGGATGTTGCAAGAAAGACCTTCAAAGCCTACACAAAGATATTACTGAATTATCGAAATTTGACGTTTTTAAAATAATATATTAATGTAGATTTTTGGCAATTTTTGAATAAAGCATATTTTTAAATTTTTTTTATTATGCTAGATTTATGAATAATGTAAGGCAGGAAAATTTTACATACAAGTAAATAACAGCTTTTATCAACAAGTAAAGAACAATGTAATAACAAGCAAATAGCAACGTTTAATGTCATTGAACTGGCTTCCCTTAATTTCATCCAATCAAATCTCGTTTCTCAATATAATTAATTTTTTGTCATTCTTTTCTGATAAACTTGTATAAAATAAAACCAAAGTTTTGCATGAATATATTGCCTTTATTTAGTAGCTATCCGAATGGAATGGTCACTAGCAGAAGTTGAAAGTACTTTTTRTTGAACTCAGCACATGTAAGATTCGAGTTATTGAACGGGCACTTATGCCTGTTGGTATGAGATAGGATGCACCCAGAAGAGGCAGTCCTACGATCTAAGGGAACGGGCTGAATAGTGACATTTGAACTTTAGATTTAAAAGTTCCTCTCCAAAGTAGTGCACGCGAAGGACGTGCATTTTAGTAGGCATCGGATATTCCAGTTCTATTCAAGCTTTAAAATTGAAAAGAATCCCGGACCCTGCCCTGTATAGTCTCAGACAATTGTAAGCTTGGTCGATAACTTATGCGGCGCCGAATTTGTGTCTTTATTCTTTTAGGTTTCAACTAGATTAGTCTAAGAAGAGCAAATATAATACCTCGCTACATCTTTATTGTCTATTATGATTTTTTCCGAATTGACGTCACGTCTGCACAAACTCATGTCGTCTCGCACGGTGGCTTGACGTCACTGGGACATTATCTTGAGGTTGCAGAGTAATCTTAAATGTCTCTTTAGTTTCCATGTGTAGAATTAAGTATTAAATACATGAATGTTAGCGTTGATAGTTTTAGCTCGAGGGTTTTGACCATGGGAAATGAAATTGGGAAAATTATGGTTTCTTTTTTCAAAGGACGATTGCCGTCATTTTGGTGACGTTTTCTCTCATTTCTTACTTTAAAGCATGGATTATGTTCCTTTTTGTCATTTTATTTCATACACTACAAGTAATATTTCCTTTCTATTGATAAAAGATGTCAAAGTTTCGCGCCGCCTTCATTTTTGACGGTGATTTGAGCTTTCATTTCTTTAGCTCTAAAATTGAATTAATTATGAGTTTCTTTGATAAATTTTGCCTCAAGCAAAAGGTATATTATGCCTTTTTATCTCTTATACAACTATATACTTTCGTCTTTCTATTGATAAAAAGTGTCAAATTTAGCTTTATTTAGCCGCGTCACTTAGTGTCATTTTTTCAATAATAACTCTTTTCCCTCCAGCATAAAGTATATTTAGTAAGAAGAACTTTAACGAGGTTGATTTATTTTGAACAGTGATTATTGCTTATATTGCTCTATTTATACAAATTTAATTATGATCGCTTTATGGATTTTCGTTGATAGCTTTTCGCCTTTAGTTTGATATACCTCTTTATTTTCATCCATAAAACAAGTCAAAGCTTCACGAGAAGGGTTTAAGTTTAGCTTTTGAGATCGACTTTTCACTTAATATTTACTTATCGCAGTCAATTCTAGTATCCAGATAAAAAAAAGCATTTTAAAAGTACATTTGCACTTTGTAGATATTGATCGCTTTTATGTTGAACCGTAAACTAACTATGCACTATGTATTCTATAAATGTTGACCTGAAGGACGGTAAGTGCTACAGAAGTACTTATACTCTTGGCTGTTATATCACCGACAATATTGCTACTTCCTCACATAAAACTCGTGCGTGTTTGACTTACGTATCAATTCTCCCGCAAGCGATTGCAAGCCGATACAAATTCGTACCGCCGCGTGGAGAAAGTGTACGTTTAATTGCTCGGTGGGGTTGGTAAAAACCTTAACATTTCGTTACGTTTTTTTGCTATTTTGCGCTGTTCCGATGCGTTTTGCCTTGCGTTATATTATATTCAGCGTTTGATAAGTATTAAGTCAAAACACAACTCTCAGTCTAAAGTACTTTGTCTTATAGCTACTCTTCGCTTAATAAACGCATTTTTACATTAGTTCTACATTTTTGTCATTCGCTTAAACGTATATGTTCCGCCGAAGAGGTTACGGAATTCAATGCGGCATTGAATAGATTATCTCGTTCAATCATATCTTTTTCTTTTGAAAGAAATGCCGTCCACATTGAAAAGCGACCTCTGTAATACGATATTAGTCTAATAGTCCTTACGAAACGATATTTCCTTTCATCTTTTACCGACTTTTATCCTTGTTTTATCCTTCAAGACACCCCGGGGATGTTGCACAAATGAAAAGAAGAAAAATAAACTCTTTAGGAATACAAATTAAAATCTCTATAATGGGAAATACAAACATAACTAGGAAGTTTGACAATAAGCGGTTAGGGATAGGCTTAGAATAAATAATAAGAAAAGCTAGTGTTATTACTATTCAAAAAGAAAACAGAAGAGTTTTGTCGCGACTTCCTTCTCTTTGTTTCACCTTTTATTCATATTATCAATGACAATATCCTAACTATGTAATGCGGTATTTTTTATGTATACTTTGAATAGTAGTCCACTTATTGCTACAACTCCAACAACCAAAGTCTGCAAAAGATTAGCATCATTWCAGTTTAGGTTTCACTGGCGAGTCAAATTCAAAATCTCTCAGCTTGAGACATAGCTGCCGGCTTTTATTCGATGCAGTCACTCTGGAGAGCCCATTTCTTAGAAATTACTCGAGCAAACTGTTCAGCAAACAAATCTATTGTGGATGTAACTAAGGATTTCATTAAAGTTTGCCGAGTTCACCTGTTGCCGCAGTGTCGATTGTCGGTGGKGTTATTATGGTTCTTGTACACGTTGCTATCTTTAAACGWATTAACTAACGCTAAATCTTTATGGTTACACGAGTTTGCGGTGGGATTACCTAGCACGTGGAGAAGATGGATACAATTTGAAGACTCTCTACTTCGCGTTTCCATAACGTCATTGTCACGATGTGCGTCCTTACCTCTGCAGCATTTCGACAGTAGTTTAACGTAACGTCGAAATTCCTTGCGGTATTTCTCGTGGAACACGGTATAAACGATTGGATCACACGCGCTGTTCGCAAAAACGCAGAGGTTTGTGATAACTAACCAGCTACTGCAACCCATGGTGTTAGAATTACGCGAAAAATCCATAATCAACCAAACTACATGGTTCGGTAACATGCAGATAGCGAAGAGCACCGTTACCGCTATTGCCATACGTAAAACCTTACGTGTTTCATGCGCGTGTTCGTCTCTCTGACTTTGATGGTAACGTGCAGAACTCTTTGTAAGTTCAAAGTAGATTTTTACGTAAGCCCAGAATATAATACCTAAGGGAATTACGTACTGAATTACGAAAATACTAACTGTGTATGTACTGCGGTAGGACTTGACTGGATTGGGCCAGTTTTCTTTGCATTCTTCGGTCTCTGGATTCACATGGAGAACAAGGCTGTACGGAACTACGAAGATCAAAGATGTCAGCCATATTAAGCAGATAACTACGCGAGTAACCGGAAGATTAAGCTGTAACTTCATGGGATAAACTACGGCCCAATATCGACTCAAGCTTATGGCGGTCAAAGTGAAAACGGACGCGAACGCGCACATTGTTTGAAGCGGAAAGATAACTTTGCAAAGAGACTCGTGAAACGGCCATTTATAGGTGTTTTCTTGCACTGGAAGGTCGAATGGTATGCATATTAGCGTAAACGCCAAGTCGGCAGCCGCGAGGTTTACTAGAAAATAGTTCATGACAGTTTTCATGCCCGCTTTTTTCCAAACAACAACACAAACGAAGGAGTTGCCGACAAAGCTGATAAGGAAGATGACACCGTACAGAGCGTACTTGCAGATCTTAAAGTCAAGTCGCTCTTTGAAACACAAATCTTCCTGCGTTAAATTAGTTAAGCGTTCGACGGAAGTGTTGCTTAGAAGAACCATTTTCTCTTTTCTTTACGTTACTTCACAATGTAATATCTAAATTACAAACTTGCTGGGGCGAATTGGAGCCTTTTCAACGTTAGAATTTCCTCGGGCGGCAGTTTCAGTTTCACTTGGCAAGTCTCGTGTTGTTTTTTGGCACGTCCTCAGTTGCAAAGAGGTGTTGAAGTAGACACTTGATGTTTGTGAAATGTGTTTGTTTTCGTTCGTCTAGCGGGTACTTAAGTTTCTTCTACTAAATGTAGCTAAATGATATTGTTAGGTCTTTATATTCGCACAGAACCAACCACTTTAGGCACTTGAGGGTAGTCTATAGTTCTTTTTTCAGTTCTTTTCAAGATATAACCTAAAGTTGATGCTTTATCTCACAGAAACTATCAGTTTATGAACGTGTTTAATGCCGTGCGTGTTACTTTGAAGATAGCTCATCGTTATCTGTGTACAGAGTTCAACGGCTTGTAGTTCCCTTGATGTAGGTTACGTCGGATTTGGAAGTTTACTCTTGATTTCAGATGGAAGCATATGGCGTTGTCATAACTGTCACTGTTTTTATCTTTACATAAATCGAGGTATASACTTTGTGCACTTGTCACTATACTTTACAGAGAAGCAAGCCAATGGCGTTGTTYGTCTAATTGCTCACTGCGTCAATCACCCGCAATGTTATCAAATACAACATCTGCCAGTGCTCTGCTATTTGCTTCAAGAACTCAGGATAATATCCTTAAGCGATGAGTCGATTTTGAAAACCCATCAAACGACAGTCATCAGCTGTTTTGAAGTTAAGTACTTTCTCGAGAAAACGGCTGTACTTGGCAGTATTTTCCGTCTAAGTTTTCTCCTTTTCTTTCTTCACCAGAAAGAAACTGAGACTCTTCTCTTTCTTGTTCTTCTCCCTCTAAAGACTGTCCGTTATAGCCAGGTGTGAGGAGTCTATTGGCAATCTCCTTAGGACTGGAGACAGTCGACGAGAGAGTGTCCGTTTCAAAGTATTTATTATATTTTACAGTACGACAAAATACAGCTTTTTTCAAAGTAACACGTCACTTGACCAATCGAAGTCTCGTTATTTGATTGGCTGCTTTTGTTGCACTGTAATTCCGCAGGCTGAAGTTTTATGGTCAATCTGGAACTCCGCTGGAAACGTCCAACAGGGATTTCGTCYTTACCAGACTAWAGTGTGAATATTACTGACCGTGACGTCACGTACTTTAATTATTTAATGTTTCCACGCCGTCTATGTAAAGCCGAGTATTGTCCATGATGAATTACACAGAATTTCAATGTACAAAGATCCTCAGGGCTTCCGTTTGGCAATTTATTGGATCCCATATATGGCACACGAGCCGCCTTAAATAGATTTAAAAATCGCCCGTTGGCGGTCGTGGCACAAAGCGTTCATTATCTTATTATTAGGGGGTGGGAGGGTCGTAATTATTCGGCAACAAAAGAAAAAAATACAAAGTTGATATTGCTTTAGGTTTATTTGCCTCTACCGCCGCATGGAAAAGATTCAAACACCGACATTTAATCAATATTATCATTTAGCAATCATTGCTAATCTTTATTTTTCTAATTTCTTACAATCGCCATTCAAAGAACGCCGAAACGATTTTCCAATACAACTAAAAAACACACCACCACTTCCCCCCATAGGCTAAATTCTCCCCGTGAGTACTACCCTAAGGTTTTTTTTTGGTGCGGATGTCATCTAACACTGAGTGTCACTCAGGAGACTCTTAGTAGTTCTTGTGGATTTTGTTTTGTGTTGTAAATTGGATGAAGGCAAAAAGGATTATTATTCTTTCGAATTTCAAAGATGGTTATTCATGAATAAGTGAAAGTAATAAAGACCCGATATACCAAAGTGTTTCAAAGCGCAGCGTTTTTAGAAGTACTCCATCTTCAAGGAAATAATAAAATAAAAAAACAATACAGAAAACGCTATATAAACGTATCAGAGTGTGGACGAGATTTTCAAAAGGATGCTGAAGCCGAAATGCAAATGTTCAAATTGATGACTGATTTGGGAAGTGGTTGAAAATATGGTCGAATGAATGAAAAAATGAAGTAAAGAGAAGAGATGAATGAATGAAATAAATCCACATGGAGCCTGGGATCTTAACATCGAGACAATCGACAAGATTAAGTATAGTTCAGTTCACAGTTGAATGAATTACGATAGGCCTAATCGTCTTGGCTATATGTCATGTACTTTTAAACCCACAATAGCTATAACCCCTGGAATGGCGAATAATCACAGTCAGTTAAAACCATCAAAGAACCGRTCTATAAGCTGGCCRGTGGGGTATAATTCGGTGTAATGCACGTTTGGTGCTATTCACTTGGTGAAATAACCCGTTAAGTAAATCATTTAAAGAGAAAGTGAGTAGCTTTAAATGGATGATTATTTAAATGAATGGATCAAAAACCTTTCAAAATAGGTGGATGGAAGAATAGATGGATGATTTGATTTA